AGGATTTTAGTATCTGTGTTCATCAAGGATATTAGCCTATAATTCTTTCTTTTAAATGTGTCTTTATCTAGTTTTGGAATTAGGCTAATGCTGGCCTCATAAAAACAGCTTGGAATTGTTCTTTCCTCTTAGTTTTTTTGGAATAATTAGAGGAGGAGAGTTGTTGTTTCTTCTTTGGATGCTTGGTAAAACTTCCTTGTGAAGCCATCTGGACCACAGCTTTTGTTTGCTGGGAGTTTTATTTTTTATTATTACTCCTTCAATTCCATCAACTGTTATTGGCCCAACCAGGTTCTCTGATTCTTCCTGAATCAACTGTGGAAGGTTGCATTTTCCTAGGATTTTGTCCATTTCATCCACGTTTTCCAGTTTGTTGGCATGTAGTTGTTCATAGTATTTTCTTACAGTCCTTTGTATTTCTGTGGTGTCATTTGTTACTTCACCTCTTTCATTTCTATTTTTATGTAATTAAGTCCTCATTCTTTGTTTCTTGCTGAGTCTGGCTAAAGATTCCTCAATCTTGTTTATCTTTTCAAAGAACCAGCTCTTGGTTTCATTGATCTGTTGTATTATTTTTTTAATATCTGTGTTATTTATTTCTGCTCTGATCTTTATTATTTCTTTTCTTCTACTTTGGATTTTTGTTCTCTTTTTCATTCTTCCAGTTGTAGTGTTAGATAGTTTATTAAAAGTTTTGTTTGTTTGTTTGTTTGTTTTTCAGGTATGCCTGTAGTGCCATGAATCTCCCTCTTAGGACTGCTTTAATTGTTTTTCATAGATTTGTGGTTGTTGTGTCTTCATTTTCTTTTGATTCCAGTAAGTTTTTGGTACCTTCCTTGATCTCATTGGTAACCCATTCATTGTTTAATATGCTATTTAGCTTCCATATGTTTGAGTTTTTACTGTTGTTGATTTCTATTTTCATGTCAGTGTAATCCAAGAAGGTGCTTGATATGATTTCAATATTCTTGAACTTGTAGTCTTGTTTTGTGTCCTAACATGTGGTCTGTCTTTGAGAATGTCCCATATACACTTGAGAAGAATGTATATTTTGCTATCTTTTGGGTGAAATGTTCTGTAAATGTCAATTAAATCCATTTGATCTAGTGAGTCATTTAAGGTCACTGTTTCCTTGTTGATTTTATTTTTGTCTGGAAGATCTATCCAGTCAAGTCAGTGGGGTGTTAATGTTGCTTACTATTACTGTATTGCTGTTGATATCTCCCTTAATGTCCTCCAGAAGTTTATATATATATATATATAT